GTTGTTGACTCTACACATACTTCTAGTCATCAGTTGGACGACAGAATTTATCATTTTCCCCCCAAACAAGTCTTCCTGCTTCTCTTAACTTGGCAAAGAACATTATGACCCAACTGTTCTCTCAAAGCAGAACGTCAACCTCATTTCAGATGTTTCCTTCCTACACATGTCTACTTTGGTCATAATGCCCCTGAAATCTGGATTTTGAGCTTGTGCATCCCAGCCAATAGGTCTCCTAGCTGACCTCCTTCAGTCCATCCTCAATATTGTGTTCCTTCAGTCCATTCTCAATATTGCTTCCAAAGTGGTAAGAAGTAAAACTGACTTTGTCCTTCACAGGCTCTAGCAGGCATACTCAGATTGTGTTTCATAAATAAATAAATTCCTTCCTTCTATATTTAGTATGTTTATCTTTGTATTCCCAGCACCTAATGGGTGTCTGAATGTAGCAAGTCATTAACAAAAGTGACTGGCTCATTGGCTTATTGAATGATTGAATGATTAAGCACTTGAATGCTTTTTAATATCTGCAAGCTATAGTCTGATCTTCTTGGATTCATCTACAGGGCTTTTCACAAAAGAAGGCTCTGACTTTTTCATTCTCATTACTTCCATACCATATTCCACTCCCCACACAATCTCATGATTTGATGGTTTTGCATCTGGTAGTTTTCCCTGCTTGGAATACTCTTTCTGCACAGCACCCATCCCCTGTCCTATGTCTACATGGTGACTACTTTCCAGGCCTAGCTCAACTGTCACCCAATTCTCTGAAGGTACTGCTGACCATCTCTTTGAATCCTGCTGACCTGTCACAATCAGAACTAGTTTTCTCTCATCTGGTTCTAACTGCATTTCACTCATACATTCATTATGACATTAATCACTTTCTATTATGTTTGTTCATTTCTGTAACTATCTTGCCACATTGTGAGCAGCTCAAAAGCCAGGACTGGGTCTTGTGGTATTCCCCATTGTAATAGTCCTAACACCCAGTGCATGAGCACTGACAAACAGGTTGTGCCTTTATGTTGGTGTTATGTGTGTACTTACTTATTTTTATTGATACATTTTTACTTTGAAAACATACCAGCATGAAATATTGATTTTAGGGCTTGTGAGATAGCTCAGTGGTCTAAAGTGCCTGCTAAGGAAAGCTTAGGCAAAGCGCAGGGACTGCGGTTCGATCCCCAGAACCACATGCTGCACCAGCTCCGCCTCTCTCTCCCTAAATAAATAAAATAATTAAAAAATATTGACTTTAATATCACTCTTGAGGCAAACCACCATCATCTCTTGCATGAATTATTTCAGAGATTTATAATTTATCTTTCTGCTTATACCCTAGGAATCCCCTACACTCCTGTTCCTCAGTCTGTTATTGGCCTGCCTTTGACTGCTAGCGAGGGTGATCTTGCTAAAATCAAAGTTTGAGCAAAGTCCTCAGTGACTTCCCATATCATGTGGAGTAAAATCCAAAGTCTTTACCCAGCATACCCCTGCCCAGCCTGTCCCTCCTATTCCCACTTATCCTGAAATTAAAGAGCACAGACTTCAGTGCTATGCTATTGAATTCAAATCCTGGCTTTAGTGTTTACCAGTTATATGACTTAGGGCCTGCAACTTAAGTTCCCTGTGCCTTTATTTCCTAATATGCCAAATGGAGGTAGCCATATGTGCCTCACAGTGTTGTTTCAGAATTAAGTGAGTCAGTGTATATAAAGTACTTATAATAGCACCTTGCCTTCTCTTCTCTAGCCACACTGGTTTCCTTACTGTCTCAGGACATGCACACTTTTCTCCCAGGTGTCCACATGGCTCACTCCCTCTTCTTGTAGATCTCTTTCTTTTGTCACTTTAGGAGGCTGCCTTTGACTGCCAGTGCTCTCCTGGAAATCTCCTCTGGTCCTGCTGACCCTTCAGCAATCAGAATTAATTCTCCCTTATCTGGTTCCAGGCAAACTGAGACAGTTTCCACCCCTCTAAACTTCAGAATATTTCTGCTGAACCCAACAGTTAGATAGCAACAGTCTCATATTTTCAATCTAAAGTGTTCTTGTCTTTGGTTGGTCTTATTCTTTTATTGCTCTAATTCCTTCTGAATGCTTATTACTGAGCCTGAGGGGTAGCCCTCTTATCTTAGTCCCTTGAAGAAGCCAGCAAGATAATGCCATGTGGTAGCTTGCTACTTTGCAGGGGCTATTTCAACTCTACCAGCTAAGTAACCTGAGACTCCTAGGAGCAGATTAAACCACACAGAATCTGTCACTGTTTAGTTTTCATTGCCATGAAATTCTACGAAGTTATGAACAACCAGATTTGAGTAGAGGGGGGAGTGAAGATACAGAATGAATAAGGAGAAAGAGTCATTGGTGGGCAATCTCTCTTCTTCTTGATGGGACATTGGTTAGAATGAACTACTTGAAGGTACAGTTCTCATCATCATAAAAATACTTTTAGAAGGGCTTAATATCTGGTACTTTGAGCTAGGTTTACACAGAAGATTACATGGCTATTGACTTCATTTTTTGAACAGCATGGCCAAGACCAGGTACTGATGTAGACACAAGCAAGATGAATTGAAATCTTTAATATGCATAACATCACACATTATATGTCACCATCTCTTCTACTGAATCCTGGATATCTCTGGCATGAAATGTATCAAGCAAACATATCCTGTCCCAATTATACTGTTAGCTCTTTGAGTGCAGGGGATACACCCTTATACTCATTTCTGCAGACTTTAGCTGTACAGTACAAATATAGATGCTGAGATTGATCTAATGGGTACAGGTAGAATACTTTTTATTTTTATTTATTTTTTTCAGGCAGAATATGTTTTAAAACAAATTCTCTAAAGTTTCTTCCTCTATAAAGTAGGGACGGTAATTTTTGAAGTCAGGATTTCCAAAGGAAAAGATATAACATAGGGCACATAATTTGTAGCATTTTAAAAATAATATTTACCCAAAGAGTCAAATGAAAAGGAGTGCACAAAATCTGTCCATACAAGAAGGACCCAAAGAATACAGCTGAAGACCTACAGCCTATGTTAGTGTTCTCCAGAAGTCCAGCTGGAGGCCTAGAACCCACAACAATGTCTCATGCAAGCCCGTTTCAAGGATCTGTGTTGGGAAGGCCCAAAGGTCAGTGATGGAAGCTAGAAAGTCTGCCAGTGGAATGAAGGATCTGTGCTAGCAGGCTGAGAGATCTGCATTGGAGCTAGGAAGCAATGCTCAAGTTAAGAACCAGAGCTAACCCCCAAATGTACCACAGCCATCCTCAGGGATAATGAGGTCCCCAGCTCCTCCTCTGATGAGGAGCCAAGTTCCTATCAGGAAATATAGTGTGATAAACTTCTCCAGGAGAATCAACAGCACATCACCTTCCCCTTCAGTTTTTTTTTTTAATGCTATTGGCAACAATCCTAGGGTGGGCCTTCTATGCCCAGCATCATGCTGATTCAGTTCAGTTAACTGTTACAAGTTGACCACCAGTTGTGAATCCACCACAGTAATTATATCTACTTCACAGGCTTCTTGGAAATACTGAGGAAAATACATGGAAATTGTTTGGTTTATCTACTTGCTCCCTTGATGTTAACTTCTGCCTCCTCTCGACTGTGGGAAAAGCTGTCAGAGCTCTTAGCACAAATCTGTGGGTATACAATTCAGCCTATAGAGACGTATTAGCCAGCTGCCTATATACTGGTGATACAGTAAAGATAACTCCCAATCTGTTAAATGTCAGATATGCAGAGTTCATGGCCTCATGATATTGAGGAATGAAGTCACCAGTTTAAAAAGGAAGTTAGGAGATTTTTATTGAAAATAAGAATAGTTCCTGGGTTTTCAGGAGGGGTCTTCCATCTCCATTCAGAGCTATTTACAGTAAGCAGGGCACAGGAATTGCTTGTTTAGTGGCTACCTATTGGAGGTGGCTCTTTGAATTTATTTTTTATTTTTATTTTTAAATTTTATTTATTTATGTGTGTGTGTGTGTGTGGCCAGCTCAGCCCACCAGGGGGCAGGGCTGGCTGGCATGTGGTGCTGGGGGATTGAACTGCGGTCCCTGTGCTTTGCTAAGCTTGTTCCAAGTAGGTGCTTTAGACCACTGAGCCATCTCACCAGCCCCAGCTCTTTGCATTTAAAATGAACAGTTGAACTCAGACTCTAAACCCAGTTCTTCAACATGTAGGGTTTTTAAAAAAAATTTTATTTTTGTGGTACTGGGGATTGAACTCAGGACCTTGTGCTTGCGAGGCAAGCACTTATTCTACTGAGCTATCTCCCCAGCCCCTGCATGTAGGGTTTAAAGAAAACTTGGAATTTACTTTTAAAAAAACCTGTTATTTTGCATTTTAAATGTTGCAGGATGCAGGCAGTTAGTAGGGAGCAACAATACCTCTCTTTAGTAAGGAATGGGCTACATTCCATGCTCCCTGAGGAAGTTTGTGTTTTGTCCAAAATCCTAGTTCACTGCCTATTCTTAATTTTTATCAATGTGCTTGGTCACTTTATTTCAGATACTCATAAATTAACTATTTTCTACGTTGTGATGATGGGCACCTTTTACCCGTCTTCACTTTTCTGCTCCCTAGCCCCCTTTGAAACAGAGTCTCACAATGCACTTCAGTCTAGTTTTGAAGTACGCCTCCCGAGGACTGGGATTCAGTCAGGCGCCACCACGCCCGTTTGCCCTAATTTCTAAACCGGTTCGATGGGACTGTATGAGCAACTGCTTGGGAGTGAAGGTCCCAGTGGAGCTTGAGACTGGAAGCACTGGCTGGAACTAAAGTCGTCACTCCAGGCGTCCTGTTCAGTCTTCATCCTGCAACCTGTCAGTCAGGTATTGCCCAGGAGCACAAAGCAGGTAAAACCGCTTTGGCGTTTGTGCGCATGTGCCACGCCTCATTGCGGCTGTGCTCTTTCTGCTTCACTTCCGCTGACTCCAGTGAGTTTGCGCGGGGCCAGCACTGCGCCTGCGCCGCGCAGCCTAGACCGGAAGCTGAGTGCCGAGCGCGAACCCGCTCAAAGATGAAGTAAGGTTTCAGTTTGCGGCTGAGGCAACGGGAGTGGGGTTCTTGAGGTGGCCCGAACGGGTTGGGTGGTAGGGTGTCTACCGGGTGAGGGGAGAGAGTGGCTTGGAGACTGCAACGTCTCCTCCTCTAGTTTTGCTCACTTTTACTTCAGGCGGGCCCATCTTGTCTACTTCTCTGCCCCTCCCCCCAGCCCTTTGACTAAGGTGAAGCTGATTAACGAGCTGAATGAGCGAGAGGTCCAGCTTGGAGTGGCGGAGAAGGTATCCTGGCATTCCGAGTACAAGGACAGCGCCTGGATCTTTCTCGGTAATCTTTCCATAGCTTTCTCCAGTAGTGCTCCTCAGAGGCTCTCCTAACCTGCCTCTGCTCATTTCGGAGCTCCTGCCCATGATTTCCCCCCACATTTATCACGCACTTTGCGTCCTGTTTGCTGTGAATCCATTTCCTCTTGTGTGTGTGTGGTTTTTTTGGCCTGTTTTAGTTTGCTCTCCCTGCCAGTCAGTGCCCCTGGGAGTTACTCTTTGCCATTCACCATGTCTGGTTTCCCAGAGAGTGTTGCCATGTCTCTCACACCCACACACTCACTATACAGCTAAGGAGACCGACTTGCAGAGAAGTTAGTGGACTTACCTCAGGTCATACAATGAAAATATGGGATTCCACAGCTCAGGCTTAACCGTTATCCTAATTACTACAAACTGCCTTTTTCCATCCTTCTTACCTCAGAATTTATCTTTATCTTCTAGTTAGCGCCTGCTTTTTGTTATGGCCACATTGCCATCCCTTTATTCACTTTCACAATCAACAGTTTTACAGTTTGCCTGTTCAAAAAGATTGTTGCACCAGGTATTGTGCTAAGCACTTTACATATTATGTTTAATTTTTATATCAGTCCTGTGAGGCAGATATACTAGTATCTCTATTTTACAGAGAAGGAAAGAAACATTTGGACAGTTTATTTCCAATGAAATACTTAACAGTTGTCTTTATGATCCTGAGTTTATGTGTAGGTGGAATTTACAATAACCTGAGCCCTTATGTTTTTGCTTTGTGCAAAAGAGTTTGAATGTGAGGACAGAATGATAAGATTTCTTTGGTAGTGGTGATCCCAGCCCTTCCATGTAAGTCACGCTCTTTGTACAGCTAGGACCTTATGTGTACCTCTGTCATTGCATCAGACTGATTTCTCTGAGGGCAACACTTGAGACATACTCTTTGTACCCCCAGTGCACAGTACATAGTAGACTCTTGATTAATATTTGTTGAACGGTAGTGCAATTTTCTTTTTTAGGAGGACTTTCTTATGAACTGACTGAAGGGGACATCATCTGTGTTTTTTCACAGTAAGTTCTTTTTCATTCAATGCCTCCTGGTTCAGCAGCTTAGCTGGCTTCCATGATGCATTGTTTTAAAGAGGAAAAAAACCAAAAACATGATATGGAATATCAAATCAAGATAATAGGGAATTAACAATGGTTAATATATTGAATAATGTTATCTTAGAGTATTTTGTGGCACTGGAAAGGGTGTTTTATTTCTAGGCTGAGTAGCATCCCTGCATCAGGAAGGCTGGAGTTGCTGACCTAGTCTGAAGTCAGTCACAAGATAGTGTTGTAGAATATTTCCATGTAGAAGATCCCAGAAGTTGGATAATTTGAGAGGGTGTCTTGGGGATTCTAGTCTACTTGTTTTGTTTTTACCCCCTGCACCTTGTTAAGCCTGAGTCTAAACTACAACAGACTGGAACTCCCAGGAAGGTATCATTTGGCACATCTCCTTGGGCTCCTGAAAATGAGGGATAGCCTCTGATCATGTGGCCCTCTGGACCTTCATCTGAGTGACATTGTGGGATTTGGACGAAGCACAACAGAATTGGGATGGTGGGCTGAAGGTTTAAGGAATAGTTTTGATGTGTTTCTAGCTAAGAGTGAACTTGAACAGTAACCAGAGCATTTTTACCTAGAGGCTGAGAATCACAGCCTGATGAGGAACAAGAATGCATAGGAGATACCTTGTTACGTTTTATATCTAAGTGTCCCCCAAAGTCTTCTGTGCTCTCAGGTGGGGCTTCTGGGAGTGACTAGATCTGCTGATTGGATTAGTATAGTTCTGTTTGTAGATAAATGGACTTACTGAAGAGAGAAGACCTACCCTGAGTGGGAATGGCACCAGTCAGTAGGTTTATAGCTTAAATGGAATAAAATGGGAAAAGAAAACCCCCTATCTCCTGCCTGCATGCCATGAACTGTTTGTCCTCTGCCATGCTGTCCTGCCTTGTATCCAACTAAGTATGGACTAAGTACTGTACAATGAACTGAGATAAATGTTTCCTCCCTTAACTTGTGGGTGTTGGGTATTTTGCCCCAGCAACAATAAAAACTAAAATACATGTATATTCTATATTCTGCTATGAGATAACTGCAGCAGCACCTAGTGAGAATTTTGGCAGCACACATGCACAGTGGCATATAGTAGGACAGGTGTAGGCCAGCTCACACACAGACCCATAGCTACTTGGCATGGCTAGCTATTCCACAGGGGCCCGAGGGCCTTGGCAGCTCACAAGAGTAGAGAGGATTAATGTCATTTGAAAAAAAATTTTTTAAGGCCAGCATCCATTTTTACATTAATACATAGTAATTGTACAGAGGTTATAGGGCAAACTGATAATTTGATACACATCTTGGAATTATAGCCTTCAGTGGCAGGCAGAGGACTGTTTGAGAGAAGTTGAACACCCTGGCAGAGGGCTTGCCTTGGATAGTTGGGTTGTCCCATGGGATAGAGGGCCCTGGCCAAGTAGTTGGGTAACATATGGAGCAGCATACCATGGAAAAGGAATTGGGCAGCACTCATGATTAAGAAGGCCATGGCAGAGGGACTGGCCAGCTCATGCAGGTCACTTTCTCCAATTTTTGGTTGCTACAGAGTTCACACCAGATGCAACCTGTAGTTTCACCCCTTTGTGGTAGTTGTACTGGATCCAGCCTTTTATCTTGCAACTGTTTTTGTTTTACTTGCATAGAGTGGTGATTAGTGTGTGTGTTTATTTGTGCATGTTAATTCTATTCTGTTTATAGACAGTGAAGATTGCTGCATTCAAAAATACTTAAAATTGTAAACGCAGTATATTTATACATGTCGTTAAGAACATTTGAGGACTGGGGAGGAGAAAGAACAAAGGGTAATAGAGAATGAAAAAGGAATGTTGGAATTTTGGTCTATTTTTATCTTTTTATAAATTAATGTTGAGCATTATCTCTTGTGGTTTGCTATTATAAGTTATGTTTCAGTGTAAACTATAGCATGTAAATGTTTGTATATATCCCTAATCATTTTCTTAGGGAGGAAATAAGGATGAGCATATTAGATTTTTTTTGTACTAGGTATCAAATTCGGGACCTTTTGCTTGCCAGGTAGGTGCTTGTGCTACTGAGGCTATATTTCCACCCCTTAAGAAGTTTTATAAATTTCGCTGAATTGCTCTCTAAGAAGGTTCTTCCAGTTTCCACTCTCACTGGAATGTCTGTTTTTATGAATCCTCATCAATAATGATTATTTTAAAAATATTTGCCAAATGGCTTCATTTTACTCTGCCTTTATTTTGTCATCAGTGAGATTGAACATGTTTCCATAGCCATTAGTATTTCTTTGTAAATTGTCTACTCAAATCCTTTGCTAGTGTTTTGTGTTTCTTTTGTGTGTGGGTGTGTGTTTCTTTTTTTGTTGTTGTTGATTTTATAAGAGTCCTTCAGGTGTTAAGGATATTAGTGTTCTTGTTCTCTCTGTCTCTCTGTCTCTGTCTCTCTCTCTCTGTGTCTCTGTCTCTCTGTCTCTGTCTGTGTCTGTCTCTGTGTCTGTGTCTGTGTCTGTCTGTCTCTGTCTCTCAGAATTGAACTCAGGACCTTGAACTTGTCAGTCAGGTGTTTGTGCCACTGAGCTATATACCCAGCCCATTAGCTTTTTGTTATAATACTTTCTCCTGCATTACATGTGGACTCATTTTTAAAAACAAATTTTTGATGTTGTAATACATTACCATAGTTATTCTTTTTTGATACAAAAATTGTCTCAATTTGATCATTTAATAGGAGTCTCTTCAATTCAGCTCCTGTACTCATTTTCTTAATTTTATTTTGAAATAATTTCAGGCTTAAAACAGAAAAGTTAGAAAATAATATAAAGAATATCTCTGCCCCCCCTTCATCCAGAGTCCCAAAGTGTTAGCATTTTACCACATTTGCTTTGCTACTATCTGCATATATATTTTTTTCTGAACAGTATGAGAGTTGCGGATGTGATGCCTATTTATTCCTCAATTCTTCAGTGTAGATTTTTCCCCCAAACAAGGACATTGTCTTATTTAATGTTGGTATAGTGAGCAAATTCAGGAAATAAGATGATATTGTATAACATTGACCCAATATTATTATGTATTCTGTGGACTTTTCAGCTTTCCTAGGTGTCCTGGCAATTTCCTTTGTAGTGAAAAAAAACCCTGCTTTTTGGTCCTTTACCTGTGATATAAATTATAAGTAATTTCTCCTGGTTTGTCACTTATTTTTGACTTTGTTTATTTGGATTTCTTTGCTGAGTAATGTTTTTAAAATTTTTCATTGATGTATTTTATTTTAGTGTGGTAAAGTTGAACTTTTGAGGGGAGTATACAGCCCTATGAGTTGTAATTCCTGTATAGATTTGTATCTTCACCACCACAATTAGAGTGAAAAACAGTACTATCACCGCCAAACTCCTTAATGCTTGTTCTTTATAGTTCCTTCCTCAGTATTTTATTTTTTATGTGGTCCTATTAATCAGTCTTTAATTGCTTCTGGATTTTGAGTCACGATTAGGCATTTCTTCCTATCGATTTTTTTTGCTGCAATATTCCAACTTATTATTATTTCTTTATTATTTTATTGAGAAATATCAATGAGACACTTTCCAAGCTGATTAATAGGACATTTTTAATAATTAATACATTGCACATTGTTATCTTCTCAGCAGTCATCCACCGCACAAGAAGCAGCCAGGACATCCCCTCCAAACACTACTACTGCAAATCCTTCCTCTCACTGAACCAAGCGAAAACAGCCGTACATCTATCCTAACTATTCTGTATATACAAATACAAAATGGTCCTTCCTCTGTATTCCCCCTCTCCAGTTCAGTCCTGTCAGAGATGGGTATTCTACTGGCATCTAAATATTATAGATATTTGAGTTCAGCAAAATAAT